TGTTCATACGCTTGCTTCGTTCTTTCACGTGTTTGGTTTAGGCTGTAGTGGTCTCCGATTGAGCAGCTTGGCAACTTGTCAGCAGGATAGCGATGAAGAAAAACGAATCCTTAGGGAAAACAAGTTGTCAAAGTTGGATGAAATATCTCTTGAACGTTTCATTGTCAGAAAGAAGAAATTGGAGGAGGTGTGTTGCCATTTAGAATACTGTGCAATGTTATCCTTTTCCTTTGAATGAAATCAAGTTTTAATTTGTAATTTCTAAGATCCATTATTTTAGACTTTCCGTGGCGACTGCCAGACGTATGCGTTTGTCACCAAAAAGCTCATTGAGAAGGATCCCACATTGGAATCACAGCTCCGTATTGCTCTGATCGAGAATATGGAAGATCTCGAAAAGCAAGTTTATGAACAAGTCGATGTGTATCTTGATACTATATGTGACTGAAGGCTTCCTGTTAGCATGTCAGAATACTATCTTTAAGGTGAATTCGCTTCTAGTTCCTCGCAAATCATTGTTAATGACTTTGTAACTGTATTAGGTTTTTTTTGAGGTGAGTATCTAGTAATGGTTATGTTGTTTGTGATTCTTGTACTCAGATGCAACCTTTGATATGAGCCTGTTTAAAATTAGCTAATCAAGAAATGAACCTTCTTTCTAGTGGAAGGATTGAATTGGCAAGACAAGCAATTTAAGGTGGTGCAAAATGGCTGAATCAGTATATCAAATCGTCTATTCTGCTCATTCTAAACTTGTTAACATTATTTCAAATCCCTAATGTGGGCTTTAATGTAGTATTATGTAGTATTTTACGTCCGTTTTGCTTTCCAAAAAATTATTGAAACGTAGTCGGCATGATACGATACCCTAGTGGTAGACAGGCCGCAACGTGAAAGTGCCATCAGACCCTGGACCACTCTTCGCCGCGCGTGTTGAACGCACACGCAATGAGGCCTAGATGTGGTCACACATGAAAGATTATCCGGCTCTGATGGAGCATGCACAACACGGCGTGTTTTTGATCCTGCGCCCCACTGAGCCTTTAAGGCCCCCCCTTATCCACCAGAAATTTAAGTTTCACCAGCATAACTTTTGACAACAATTCGTAAATGGCTTCATTTATCAAAAGTGGGATGGAGCTTCCCACTTGAAAAATAAGTAGCAGAACTCTTTTAACGCGAGAAAATAAATCAGTCTCCTCTTAGATGTATCCTTTTAGATCGGTTCTTCCTCATAAAATTGTCCCATTATATGTTGTCTGTAGAGGTGCTATCAACGGCATGTCGATAAATGCCTGGATTGCCATGCTCACAACATCAATGTTAGCCGCAACCCTAACAGTCAGCTAGCGTCTAGTTTTATGTTCAGTAGCTAACTGTTAGGGTTGCGGCGGAAAATGAGACGTTACGTATTTTCACTTGTACTGACATGTTAGTGTCACAATTCCTACACTTCAGATTTGCAAGTTCGAAGTGCGCGATCAACAGATTTTGGCGAGCTAATGTGTTGGGAGTGCCAACAGCTACAAATCCGTGCTCTTAACTGCCATTGCTCCTTTAATGAAAAAAAAA